ATTTATTATCCTTTAGAAATGTGACTTAGAGATGAGACCTGATAAAAGATATGACTTAGAGGTATAACTTAGAGGTGAGACTTAAAATATGGTATGCATTTTAGACTTACATGATTGGATCCAGCTCAACTTATGACACTTTATTCCTTGATTTTTGATGGCCCCTCCAGAGGCAAGCAGAATAGCATAAAAAATATTATTCATATTGGGTTTACAATATTAGGCTCAGTTCAATTCACGTTACTTTGTTTCTTGATTTTCAATGGCCTCTTCTAAAGCAAACAGAATAGTAAAAATTTTTTAATATATTATTTGGAATTAAAATCAGACTAGAATGTTTATATCAAACAATGTAATTCTTGGTATCAAACAGGTTAATTCCTAGCTAAGTTTGATATTAACATTTAGATTTGAGTCAAATTACGCTAGAGGTTTTAATTTGAAAATTGATTTATATAGCTAAAATTGATTCGTAGGTAGGCAGAAATCTTTTTAAGTACTATTTGGAATTTTGTCTCAGAACCCCTTTTTGTCCTATATTCTTTTCTATATATATTATTATATATTTCTAAATACATATATTGATATACATTGATTATTAATTATTCTATTTAACAAAAATTAATCTTTATGAAGAAGTTTATAATTTTACTAATGTGAATAAAAAATTCTTAGAATTATTAAGTTAAATCATTATTCTTCAAATACCTCTAACCTTACTATACATATTAAAGTATATTTTCAGTCAGTAGATTTCGCAATTGACTTGTATAACAACATATTTATATTTAAGAATAATTTCCTAATAGTAATCTACTACCTTTTTCTAAATCATCTATATTATTAATATTAACAATAAAATCATTTATCTTACTTTTTCTGATAAGAAAATATAATCTTTTTTATAACCATCAATACATGTAAAAAAAAATTATCCAATTATCTAAATACGTAATCATTTTTATTACCAGAAAGAACAAGGCATTTATGAAGAGTTAGATATTAAATAAAATAGGAGAATAGTATTTGATCAATAATAATTATCTATGTAGCTAAATTTGGCTTTAACAAATATATATATATTTATATGAAACTTCCTAAAATCCCTAGAGTTTCTTTATTTGTTTATTAAATTATTGCTCAGGTCTCTTAATTGCTATCGTGGTTATGAAAAAAGAATTTTTAATCCTTTGTATTTTTTAAATGTGTATGATATCAATGATCGATCCAAGATTTTCTTGAAATCATATACATACATATTATAATTATCCCATTATAACCGGTTAGTAACTGGCTAGTTAATAATATTTAAATTTTATCTTCTGTAATGTTTCTGAATAGTATAAACATTTGCTTCTTCGCAAAGGAAGGAGCTATTAACATACTTTTTATGCTCATAAATTAATTAATACTTAAAGTTATATAATAAAATTTATAAAAAAGTTTTAATCAAATAAAGATTTTTTTAATGAATAACGAAAAATATTTATTCAATATAAATAAATACAAGCATGTTAAATTTAATAAACTAGAAACGTGTCGAACAATTTTTTTTTTAAAATAAATAAACAGTTTGAGTTAAAGGTAATTTTGAAATAGGTTCACAAGTACAGACAACACCATCTGCCTTTACAACATAAGTTTCGGGATCAACTTCAATTTTAGGTAAAGAATCATTTAATTTCATATCTTTCTTACCGATACCCCTACATTTCTTTACTACTTCAATACGTTTCTTCAAACCATATTTTTGAACATTTCCTTCTTTGATAGATACTTGACTAACAAAAGAAATTGAATTCTTTGCTGCAGCACTTGCGAAATGACCAAACATTGGTCTTGAAATAACAGGTTGCGTTGTTGGAATTGATGCATTTGCATCTCCCATTTGTGACCAAACAATTATACCCGATTTAATAATAATTTCAGGTTTTGATCCAAAGAATGCCGGATTAAACATTACTAAATCTGCAACCTTTCCCAGTTCTATAGATCCAATTAAATGACTAACGCCGGTTGCTATAGCTCTATAATGATTATCATTGTGAAAGGGGAAAATAAAAATGTAAATAAAAATGTAAATGCTATTATATATATAAAAATTTGTACTTACGGATTAATGGTGTATTTGGCAATATATCTCTTTATTCTGAAATTATCGGCTGGACCATCATTGTCATCTCCTAATCTTCCTCGTTGTAATTTCATCTTATGAGCTGTCTTCCAAGTCCTTAATACAACTTCACCAATTCTTCCCATAGCTTGAGAATCAGAACTTATAATGCTAATAGCGCCAAGATCATGTAAAACATCTTCTGCTGCAATGGTTTCAGCTCGTATACGTGATTCTGCGAATGCTATGTCTTCTGGTATATTTTTATCTAAATGATGACATACCATCAACATATCTACGTGCTCATCAAGCGTATTTGCAGTGAAGGGTCGAGTTGGATTTGTTGATGATGGAATGATATTTGGTTCACCACAAACTTTAATAATATCTGGAGCATGACCACCTCCCGCACCTTCAGAATGGTATGCATGGATTGTTCGGTCTTTGAAGGCTGCAATTGAATTTTCCACGAAACCAGACTCATTAAGTGTATCAGTGTGAATGGTCACCTAAGTTTGTTATTGATATATTTTATTTTTAATGTTAAATTTTATTGTAAATAATGTTTACACGAGACACGGAAAACTTACTTGTACATCAAATTCATCACCGACGCTCAGGCAAGTGTCAATTGCTGCTGGAGTTGTACCCCAATCCTCATGTAATTTTAATCCTGCGGCACCTGCCTTAATTTGTTCACTTAATGCAAGAGGGTCTGATGCATTTCCTTTACCAGTGAAAGCAAAATTCATTGGGATATCATCGGTAGCGGTAAGCATCATCTCTATATGTGATTTTCCTGGTGTACAAGTTGTGGCATTTGTACCAGTATTTGGACCAGTACCTCCTCCCACCAAAGTCGTAATACCAGATGAGATAGCCTACAGAATGTAATGAATCAAGGTTAAAGAGTAATTGAATTATATAGAGGATGAAAGAAGTTTTTTTAAATCAAACCTCTGGAATAAGTTGTGGACAAATGAAATGAACGTGAGCGTCTATTGCACCGGCCGTAAATATATGACCTTCACCGGCAAGGGCTTCTGTAGAAGGACCAACAATCAGACCAGGAGTGACACCTTCCATCACATCAGGGTTACCAGCTTTACCTATACCAACGATTATACCATGCCTGATACCAATATCGGCCTGAAACATATAATGATAATAGTAAATTTTATTATCAATGGTTAAGAAAATTATAACGTATTGATAATCACCTTAACAATGCCAGTATAATCAATAATAATAGCATTTGTGATAACCAAATCTAAAGCTTCATCAGAAGATATCGAAGTAGCCTGACCCATTCCTTCTCTTAAAACTTTGCCACCACCGAATTTACATTCATCACCATAAATCGTATAGTCCTTTTCAATTTCTAACCATAAGTTGGTATTTCCTAATCTTAATTGATCACCAACGGTTGGTCCATAAGTATCAGCATAAGCTTTTCGATCCATTGAATAAGGAGTACAAGCTAATGATGATTTGTCCGTTAATGAAGCATGTTTGAAGCCTTTAACGATAAGGTTTTTAACAATTTTGTCGATTTTCGAAGCATCAACGATTCCGGTAGCAATATTATTTCCTCCGGTGATACATTTTTTTCCACCGATTTCGACAAGTGTGACGGTTTTTGTTTCACCCGGTTCGAAACGTACTGCGGAACCAGCTGGAATATCCAGTCTTTTACCATAAGCTAAAGATCTATCAAAACTAAGTGCAGGGTTTGTTTCAATGAAGTGGTAATGAGATCCAACCTATTAATCATTGATAAATGGGATTGAAAAACAATTTTTAACGTAAATAGTTGCGGATTTATTTTCTATTGGCCAACAGAATTCACGTGTTATAATGGTATCTTACCTGAATGGGTCTATCACCAGTATTCACAACTTTAAGGCTTGCTCTAGCTCTTCCTTCATTCAAAACAATTTTACCAGGTTTAACAACGAGAGCACCAGGTGCATCTTCAGCCTTCGCTTTAACAGTTGATAAGGCAAATTTAGAATTATCAGGTATTGGCAAGAAACTTCCATAAAGAGCCAATTCTAGATTCCCATCATCAGAGGAAATTGGGTCATGAACGGTTACAAGATAAGATCCATCGGGAAATGTTCCTTCCACTTGAACTTCAGCCAACGTTTCTAAAACGTCGGGCTGAACATGACGTCTACCCAACATTTGCTTTCCCGTATTCATTAATTGCGCAACAGTATTTGTTCCATCTCTCATCATTTCAATTAATTGTGAAGCAATTAAAGCTGCTGCTTCAGTATGGTTTAACTTGACTCCACGAGCCAAGCGTTTTTGAGCTAAATAGCCAACTTGATGGAGAACAAGTTTATCTAATTCTCTTGGTACCAATCTCATTATTGCTGTTTTCGTTAAAAAAAAGTGAAAAAATATAAAAACACTTTTGTGAAAAAGAACCTTTCAAAAGAAAATGAATTTATTATAAATTTATTTGTGGTACTAAACTGATTATCGCCCCAATAGAAAGGACGATTATGCGATGCGATTTTCGGTCATTTTTATAAGAAAAGGTAAATTAACTGTATCGAAATTTCAAACACATGTGCCCTAACGCTGATAAGGTCGAGATTTTAAAATTCGTGGGAAGATCTCTCGGTGTATAATGATAAACAGTTAGATTTTAGTTGATCTTGTTAAATTTATGGCACCTCATTTCGGAATGTATGCATCTACATACATATATAATTTATACTTTTCAGAAAGATATTCGAATTGGTTGATCCCCCACATTGAACAAAGCTCGTTTCGCGTAAAAAGTTTTAAATATCTGGTTATTTTTAAAAAGAAATTAATTAATATCCGTAAAAATCATATTTTTTTTCCTCGAAATATCTTTTTTTAATAAAAAATGGCTACCGAACAAGAGGTTTGCCAATTTGAAGATCATATGACTTCAGCAAAGGGTAGTGTTCATGGACATTCTCACGATCATGGCGTAGGAGAACATGGACACACTCATGAACAATTAGATAATCCTGGTAAATATAATGAAAGAGAATTACCAAAATACGGAAATCGTAACTGGAAAGAACGGGCTTTTACTGTTGGAATTGGAGGGTAAGTCAAAAAAAAAAAAAAAAAATAAAGAATCCTATTTATATTTTCCGATAATTGAATTAATTTCCATTTCAATTTATTAATAAAGTCCTGTTGGATCAGGAAAGACGGCATTAATGTTAGCATTATGCAAGGCACTGAGAGAAAAATATTCCGTTGCAGCGGTGACAAATGATATTTTTACTAAAGAGGATACAGAATTCCTAGTTCGAAATAATGCATTACCAGCTGAACGTATTCGTGCAATAGAAACTGGCGGGTGTCCACACGCCGCTATTAGAGAAGATATCTCTGCTAATTTAGGTGCTCTGGAAGAATTACATGTTAAATTCAACGCTCAATTATTGCTTGTTGAAAGTGGGGGTGATAATTTAGCTGGTATGTGTTGAGAAAAAAAAATTGGATAGAAATAGAAAATTATCCATACTAATTTACAAATGATTGTGTAGCCAATTATTCTCGAGAGTTGGCGGATTATATCATCTATGGTAAGCTAAATCACGTGATATTCGCGTCGGAATTTCTTCATCGTAAATTTAATTCATCATTATTTTCATACAGTCATTGACGTGGCAGGAGGAGACAAAATTCCAAGGAAAGGAGGACCAGGCATTACACAGTCAGATCTTTTAATCATAAACAAAACTGATTTAGCAGAAATCGTTGGAGCTGATTTAGGCGTGATGGAAAGAGATGCTCGTAAAATGAGGTAAAATAAAAATAATATCCATCACATCCTTTGTAATCTACATTCTCATAGCAAATATTTTATTTATAGAGAGAATGGGCCAACGTTATTTACTCAAGTGAAAAACGGTGTTGGAATTCCGCAGATCGTTGAATTGATACTGAGTGCTTGGAAGGCGAGTGGTGCTGACGATTAAACGCGAGGATTCTCTTTTACTATAAAATATTGAAATGATAATTTATTTTTTTTATTTTAAATTTTTTTTTAAATAAATTTTTTTAAAAATAAATTGATTCAACATAAAAAGAACCAAAGATCATTTCTTGATACTATGTGTTGCTGTATAGCGTTAATGCTAGTCTAAATCGTATGCAGAAAAAAATAATTCGACACGTGCCGAGTTTATTGCTGCGGTTTATTGTGAAACAACCTAAAATTTTCTCATCTCATATTTAGATCAGTTATCAACTCTAACAGGAATCAAAAGTTGTTGCAAATGAAGACGGCTAATCCTGTTCCTAATGTTCATAAATTTCCTATCTATCCTCTTAAAAGATTTAATACAACCTGTGTTGAATTTAAACAGCCTGTCGAAATTACGAGTTTTAGTTATGACGAAAATCGTCAATTACATATGGACGATAGAGAGCTGGTAAATTAGTTTAAACAACTTGTATTATACTTCTACTAAGAAGAGATTAATTATTAAAGCTCTTTATAGAGATATTATTATCCTCCTAATTTGGAGAAGGATTTTAATTTATCAGCTGGCTATGAAAACTTTATACAAAGGGAAAATCAAGGAGCTGAACCAATTCATTCTTTATTGGATGCGTTGATTCATTTGAAAAGGACTAGTGCTAATGAGGATGTAATAAAGGCTGATATCGTAAGCTTTAGAATTTTTTATAATTTATTTTTTTTTTCTAAATGTATTAAGTTTTCCTCTTAGATCTCTTGGAGAGGAATTTTCACAAAGTTACTATGTGCTCCATATAACAAGAATGAACCCTGGGAATTAGGAGCAACATTATATAATGTTAGAATAATCGTGTCTTTATGTGTTTATTTGTTTAAGAAAATTCTTTATATTTTAATTTTTAATTTTATTTCACCATTTTTGAAATTCTAGAATACAATGTAGGTTACTCGATTATTTATCTTTTGATATCACGCGTCAAAATATTAAACTTTTTGTTAAATCGAATTTATAGCTTCATTGAAGAACATGAAACGGAATATAAGCGACGAAACAATGCCGGAAATACTCAAAAAGCTAAATTAATGGGGTATTGGGGATATAAATTTGAAGCATTAAGTACAATCAATGTACCTGCGTCTGAAATTAAATCTCCAGATGATCCTGAATTATTAGCTCGTAAAAATGCTGTGGTAAATACGAATATACAATATTGTTCTGTTGCAAATACAAAATTGGGGACAAAAAAATTAATAATGGGCGCAGAAGTTGATTGTATTATAAGTAATAAACCACCATATCCTGAAAATCCAGTTGATAGATATATTGAATTGAAAACTTCTAAGATCATTGAAAAAGAAAGGGATAATTTTGTATTCGAAAGGTGTGTAATTCAAATGATTTTTTAAAATAAGTTTTTTAAAAATAAAATATTAAACTTGATTTTTTTAATTTAGATTTAAGTTAATTAAATTCTGGGCACAATCTTTTCTTATTGGAATACCGAAAATAATTGTTGGATTTAGAGATGATGATGGAAATTTACGTGTAGTACAAGAACTTAAAACTTTAGAAATACCAAGAATGGTTAGAGGAAAAGATAAAATGTGGGATGCAACTATTTGCTTAAATTTCTTAAATAAAATTTGTGAATGGTTAAGAGAAGTAATTAAGATTGAAGATGCAAATTCTTCATATGTTATATCATTTAAGGAACCATTTCAAGAAATTGAAGTTTCTTTCTGTTATAATAAAAATTCTGTATTAGCAGATAGACATTTAAATCCACTTAAAATGTAATTAATATTTTTTCATTATTATATTAAATAAGTATTAATAAAAAAGAGTTTGATTTAAATTATATATAATTTGCTTATTATGCAAAATAATTAAATAAAATAATATATTAAAAAAAAATTTTATTAAAATTTTAAATACTTTATTAAATTAAAATAATATAATAAATTATATTCAGATAGCTTTTATATTTTAATTAAGAAATAGAAATCAAATCTATAAAAAAATTTTAAGATTTTATAAATATATTAAATTTAAAATAAAAATATATAAAAATAAAAAAAAAATAGCTATTAAATTTTTATTTAAATTAAATATCAAATTTAATAGTAATTTAATACTTATAATTAATAAGTTGTATATAAAATTTAAGAAATATTATTAAAATTTGATTATTAATCAGTTTTTTATATTTTTTTAAAACTTTTTAAATAAGAAATATATCAATAAATATTTTATTATTATAAGTTTAATTTTTTTTTATAAAATAATTAAATTTTTTTAATAAAATTTTATTATATAAAAGGTTTGTTAAAAAAAAAAGTATTGTTGACTAAAATTAATTTTTTTTACATTTTAATCTAATATTATCAAAAATTAAAAATATAATAAAAATTAAAAATTTTCATAATTCTATTTTATTAGTAAACTTTCTATATATTGTTTAACTTTAAAACTTATTTTATGTAACATAATATATAAAATAAAAAATTTGTATTTAATATTGGTTTAATATTATGCAATTCATTTTATATATTAACAACCTATTACTTTAATGATAAATATTCCTTTTAAATTAATAGATTATTTAATATATTAATTCAAAAATCTAAAAAATATTGATCTTAATAATTTTAATGATAACTTTTGATATTGTTTATGAGTAATTCTTGCAAACTATCTCTTAGATTGTAGGGTTTTGCAGACAAATTTGCCTGCTTATTTACTAAAATTCTTTTCTGATTTACTTTTATAAATAATTAATATTTTTTAAAAATTTTTTTTTAAATTAATTATATAAATATATAATATATTATAATAAGTTTTATCTTTAATTATATAATAAAAAATGTAATGTTACTTAGAAGCTAAAAATTTGTAAT